CTTCAATATTTTCATATTTTTGTTCGATATCATGTTCTAAATTTGTGATACTTGTTCGAAAATCATACCAACTTTCAATTTGTTTTTCTTTTAAAATACTATAACAAAGAGAGACAATCGAATATATGTATCGGAAAAAGAATGCATGCACAAAATGATTCTATTTATGTTATTTTATATCAGTATAAAATGTGACACTACCGTATTGAAGTTAAAGTCTACAATTGAAAACAATGTTCATTTAAGATTTTCTTATGAAAAAGTAAAAACTTTGAACACCTTCCTCTATCATTAATAAAAAAAACAGCCCAACACCTTTGAGCAGAATGAAGTTAATTAAGTTATTGCATCATTAAAATATTTATAGCCCAGTCCCTGTACTTGTTTAACTTTTCAATTTTGTTTTTTTTCTAACAAAAAGCTATGTGTTTTTCTTTATTCAATTTTGATATTTTCTATACCAATTAAAAAGATTATCGGTGATCACTAAAATTAATTATTATTTGCACAAAAACGATTTAAATAGAACTCATTGTACCAATTCGAATACTTTCATATTGTGTATTATTTTAATATTTTTGTTCATAGAAGCAAACTTCCAGACAAAAAAGTTCTTTCCTAAATGAAGCTAAGATACAAAGTGCAGGTTTTTGTACTTAAGTATAAATACAAGAGTATTTACGTCGATGTACAAATACTTTCGTCCGAGTTCTGGTGGATTTATTTATGATTGTGATTTCTTTGTTATCTATACTCTTTGTCATGTCCATGTTTTTATTATTATTACTATTCGTTGCCCATTATCCAAGTTAGGCATTCTGACCATCTGAAACTACCTAAAACGGTGGAGAAGTGATGTGATTATTGTTCTCAATGATGAAAAACGATTGCCATTTTCTACTGGAACGTAAACGGCGTCATTTAAGACGGTTTCACTCAAAAAACGATGCACAGCATTGAGACCGTATTTTCATCGAATACTGTCATATTTACACCATTTTTTGCTCCATACGAACTATCTTCGTTATTCGAATTGCACCCTAGATGGCATCCAACTTATATTTTCTATTATCATACGAAGTATTTCGTTACATACATAGCATTCCTGCAAACGGATTTATCATCAAAAGCTGCATTCATAGCACACATATGAAAGAGGACCAAACACAGATACAATAATCATGCTTACTGTGCGTGAAAGTATCATTAAACACTTTTTTAGATAAAGTAGTTCGATAATAAAAAAAACCTATAATTTCAAGGATGTATTTTTTTAACAAGTAAATCATTACAATCATTTATCGCTCTTTTTTAAACGTTTACGAACTGTTGTTTCTATATGCGGTGAGCAACAACATTAAAATTTGGATAAACTTCTTACTAAGTATCTAGAAGACAAAATAATAGGCTCTTTTATCTATAGAACTTACCTATGGAAAAAAATGAGCAAATAAAGAATATGCGAAGATGTATACATTTACTCGATAACTCAATATTACTATCATATTAGTCATCGTATGGCAAGACATAGAGGTGTTTTTTGTAGAGCACTTCGTATATAATCGAATAGATCTCAACAAAATCTAATCATCGATGCTTAAAATAACTCAAAAAAAAGTTAATCGTGATCTGATATTTACGAAAAAATACAAAATCTAAGATAAAAGAGTAAAACGCAATTCTATCTCAGCAAAACATCTCTATGGAATATTAGAAATTGATTCAGCTAGAAATGGTAGATTAGTTCATTAAAATTTATCTCATAAACATCATTAGATATTTTCTCATGAAGTTTATGAGATACTTTTCTGATTCTATGTGATAACGACTTGAAAATAGGATAAAACTGACAATCACAAGAATGGTCATTTTCGCTGTTATGTAAATAATGATCGTAATCAACATCATTCATCACTGTATTTCTCCATTTTTGAATTATTTACGGCCTTTTACGGGTCATTCTATACGACCTAGTTAGTTAATATATTTCACATTTTTGTACTTCTTCGTAATTACTTCATTCAGTGGCTCTATTTTTCACCTCATTCACATTTATTTTGTTCTCTCATCTTTGACCAATTATCTTCTTCTAATTATCTACCATCTCGTTGTGGCACGTTGGATCGTATCTCACCTTGATAGTTCTCTACAAAAATATTTCACTAATATCGATCATCACATAAATAAGATTGTATTTACAGAATACAAAGTATCCACTGTCTCAACTAAATTATATAGTTGATGAAATTTAACAAGAAAAATAATTTTACCTTCTCATTTCATTTTGAATTCTTTCTACATGTTTTTTTCCAAGTTCATGAATTTCATCTGGACTCATATTTGTTGTGGTATGAAATTCTAAACATAATTTATAATATTTATTACCATTTGGTAATTTCCAAACACCATGATCTGTTTTAGCATTTGATAAATCTTCATGAAGAATATTTAATAAACGATCATATGCAGGAATAATATTTATTTTAATAATTTTTAATAAACGACTAATCAATTCATTTTGTTTTTCGTTCTAAAAGTTTTACAAAAAAATTTTATAAGAAAATATTTTCTTTTTATTTGAATATTTACTGAACAAATTTTATCATTGAGTTTATCAATGAGAGCAATAATTAAAGGACTAAAAATAAATTAAATTCAAATGAAATATAATAAAAAATTTGATTTGTTCTACCTTTTATTTGGTTCATTTCGTAATTGTTTTTGAAATGCTTCAAGACCATCAATAACTCTTTGAAGAACAAATCGAGGTGTTTCAATATTTCTATGACGTCTTTCTAATTGTTGATCAATAAGTTGATCAAATGCCTTTGATATTCTTTGTACCTTTAAAAAACGACAAACAAAATTCATTAAATCAATTCAATTAACATCGAAAAACAACTTTACGCGAATAAGATAAGCTTCAGCATCACTTAATTTTAATATCCGATGAAATTTTGTTATAAATGATATTATATCAAATTGAGGACCCATCATTTGATTTATTAAATAATTATGATAATCAAATTCATCACTAAGTTCTCTTCTTAAATTCATATTCAAAAAATATTCCATAACATCATATGATTCTCTTTGATCAGATGAAATTTTTTTATTTTTAAATGAATGAAGATAAGTTAATTCCTTTTGCAATTTTTTTTTCTCATATTCATGAAATGATATTGAATAATCATGTAATTGTGTATTAAATAAATCCAAACCACTATTAGAAAAAATAGAATCTATTTTTTTTTTTGTTAGAATGAATACTTACAGTGGTCGAAGTTGAGATAAAAGATCAGGACTGTCAAGTAAATATTCGAAGAAAAATCTAATGAAAGGTTTTTTTTTGTTTAATCGAATAATAAATTCTATGTCATTCAGTACCTTGCATAGAGTATATTAAGACTTATTGGATTAAAATAAGCATTTTTAATAATTATTATTGACCATAAAATAAATATTATTGAAGCAAGATAAAAATGAATTAAAAAGAAAAGAAAAATCGGCAAACAGCATAAAAAACATGTTAATGATAATTTTAATTGTTTCCAATACCAAGAATTTGGAATTAGAGACATTGCATGTTTTCTATTTAATTATCTATTAATTAATTGTCAATGTGTAATGAAAACAATTATTTGATATGAGTCATAGATAAGAAAGTGTATCAAATGAGTGTTGAAGTAAGATAGAGGGCGTCATTGAACAAACACGATCAAAGATAGTTAATGGCATCTGTTGACATGACGTCAGGCCTTTTATCAATCTTTTCTTTTTGTTTCTTTCAACTAAGACAAATACACTTAGAATTATTTGTCAAACAACACGTCTAAGGTATAGTAAGGCCACGTCTTTGAATGAAGAGATAGTTTTTTTTATGAATCAAACGAAAAATGTATAGCATCAAAAATCGATATTGTTTTATTAGAATATACTTATGTTTTATTTCGCTCTTGTTTCGGTTTTTTTTTGGTGTATTTTGAAAAATAAAATGTTACCGACAAACAAATTAGGATTAACATGAGTCTAGCTTATTAGTCGTTGTGTGGGAAGCAGAACAGAAATAGTAGTCAAAAAAGAAAAAAAACGAAAGTTGTTTCTTTTTTTATCTCATTTTATTCATTCATTTTTTGCTTGATCCTTTCGTATTGAGTATAGATTTTGACCAAGAATCCACAACGAAAATTTCTGAGCCAACTATGAGTTCCAATTTAATCGATAAGTAGCGAAGGCATTTGTGTGCCAATCTACGGAAGACTGATCGTTCTAACCGTTTCCATTCAAAAGTTAGAAACGTTTTATTGGAAGCCTTGAAATGAGTCCACTAATCACTAATCACTCTAAATTATTCTGAGTTCTGAATAGTTGGCTAAGCAGGATTAAATGACGGTGTTAACTTTTAGTTTTGAATCAGATTGATGTTGAAATAACAAGATCCAGAAAAAATCGTTTTTAATGTTGAAAACTTCCTATAGACTGAATTACAAAGTTATGATCTAGTAATTTACAATTACATTGAAACTTAATGATAACATCACCATTCAACTCAACTTAACCGAATATCCAAAACTCAATACAATATAGAGCGGTCAGTCGTTAGTTGGCTTATTTCGAGGCTTCCACTAAAATCCTTCTAATTTCTAAATAGAAATAGTTAGAAGAATTAGCCTTTCATAGATCAACATACAAATGTCTTTGTTATTGATTGCTTGAATTTGGAACTTATAGTTAGTTCATAAATTTTTATTGTAAGCTTCTAGTCAAACTCTACATTACAAACTGATCAACTTGACTATTCTATAGCCAAGATAATCTTGTAAACTTTTACTTCCCCAACATATACATCTCGAATAGTGGAAATCGTTGCTAACTACTTTCGTTCTCGAGATATATAAAAAAAAGAAAATTGAATTCACTATATTTTAGCATCAAGCATAATAATTTAAATAATCTAATAAATAGAAATATAACTATTGATACAAATAAATTAAATCTCGATGTCCCAATCCGATACAATTCGGCAGAAACTAATCGAAACCGAATATGAGCCTGTTAGTTCATCACGTAAACTTAATTTATTACTTCAACGATCAGTTCGATATTCATATCGACAAAGATGTTGCAAATGTTGTCCAACGATACTTTGTGAACTTCTATTTCCAATTGCTATAATAGTATTACTAACCTTAGCTCGATATGGAATCAATCGATTAGCCGAAAAGCAAAAAGACGATGGAAGTTTACCGGGATCTTTCAGTAAACATCCGTGTTCACAAGATATCAATATTCCCCCAACTTCATCAAATGATATATTTACTAATTGTTTTAAATTTCCACCAAGTTATAGTGGTGGTCGTTGGGGTTCACATAGTCATGATGATGTATCCAATAAAACAAATATTGTTTTTGAACCGAATCGAACTGATATTAATGAACTTGTTCAACGTGCTACAACACGTTTAGCTACAATGGAATGTAATAATACAAATGTTTGGTAAGTTTATTTGAATATAATTAAGAAAAGAAGAATTTATCGTTGATATTGTGTCTTTCTCTCTCTATATATATATATATTTATACATATATATTCAAGGAGTCAAAACCCAAATGATGAAATGGATGCGCATTTATTGCAAAATAAAACTGTAAATACAGTTATAGTGGATTTCAGTGCAACATCTGATCTAAGAAAAGAACGAAATCTTGCTTGTAAGTTGATTTATCTATTAAAAGCTTATAGACTAAGATTGACTCATTACTCTACATTATATATATATATATGAAGAGCAGTTCGAGAGAAACTAAAGCTTCAAATGAAAATAAATATAATATGATATAGAAAGTTGAGATGCACATTTAAATAAGAGTTTTCAAAAATCTATTCTTTCCTTTCAAACGAAGAAGCAAAGAAAAGAATTGAATTAGATCGAAAATAATTTTATTTAAATAGAAGAGCTACTAAAACATTAGACCTTTATTCCTGACACTAATCCAGTAAAGATGGTGTTGAATAAATCATGAGAATAACTTATATAATTGCTGTTTATGACATTGACATGATTAAATTTGAGTGAAGTCATTTCACTATGAAGATGCAGCATAGGCCATAACTGAACCATTCATCTTGAATGGAATAAACATTGCATTTATTGTTAGTTTGATCTTTTTTGCGTTTTTTCACAGTTATGTTGCTCTTTTATCGGTGTAATGCTGGAACTCTACTTATCATGAATTATTTTTTGAAAAGAGAGCTATTTCCGAGGATTGTATATGGCTAGATATTTGCCAAGACAGCTTTTCTTTCAAATTGAAATCAAGTCTTCCATTTTTAGGATTGTGTCGCAATTGTTAATTTTCATTTTCTTCTTATAATATGGAATCATTAGCTCTAAATCTGATTAGAAATCACTCACCTTTATTGTTAAGGTCTCGCCCAAGAATAAGGCCATAATAAAACTTGAAAGTGTCTATTTTTTATCGATAAACAGTTATTTAAAGACGACCGTAAGATGCTCTTGACTGGCCAGTAGTTCTAATAAAGCTTTTAGGATGAAGATTGCGTTATCTTTGAGTTTACATCTAGAATAAAACAATTCCTGATACTCACTACGAACGGGGTAAAAACGACTGAAATCGTCATGAAAAATGCTGTTCTCACATTTGTAGTCAAGAAATTTTCAACAATTACTCTACAATTATATTATGTCTGTAGTTGTGTATATCAACCTGGCAAACATCAGAATAATCAATCTGTGTAACTAAATAAGATAAAAAGAAACTTATTTCATTTTTTTGAAAAAAAAAATACGACTTTCCGACTTGTGGATGTTAGCCAAGACGTTATGAAAAGAAGTTTAAATTTTTACAAATTTGTAGTTTATTGAAGATTCTACAGAATAGTCGAAAATTATCTCGATCTGATGCTATATCACTTTAAATATATATTTTCTATGAATGAGTCAAAAATGAACCAATAGAGAGTAAAGAATTAAAAAACAAACATTAGACACTTAATAGCAAATTTTAACTTTCCATTGATATTAATAAAATGATTATTGTTTATTATGTATTTTTAGATAACATTATTGTTCGAGCACCAAATATTATTTTAAAAAATGATCCTATCGATAGATCATTCATATCATATAAACATCCAGGTATATTTACAATTATCTTTTCTATTCTAGAAAACATGATTTCAAATGTTTAGGTTATATTTCTGATCGTTCAAATACAACAGATAACAATGCTATTAAAGGATCAGAATTACCTGAATTTACTGATGTAAAAATGTTTGTTGATTCATTACTTATGGAATATCAAACAAATCATCAAATTCAATTTGAACTTGAACGAAATCTTATGACTTGTACACCATTTCGAAATGATTATCTTTTTAGTAAGATTAAAAGAAAAGCAAATATCCATTAATAGACAATATGCTATTTTATTTTTAGCATCAGAATCAAATTTTCTTACCACAATTATATTAATGATTGATGCTGTATTCATTGTTCCGTAAATAAAATAATTCTAATTAAACAAATCTATTTGAATTCATATTTTTAGATATTTAATTCTTTTAATAAGTTTAATTCGAGAAAAAAATGCAAAAGTGAAAGAAATTCTTAAAGTACTTGGTATTGAACCTATTCTTAATAATCTTGCACAAGGAATTCGGTAAATAAATAATAATAGAAAAAAATTTATATTTTTTCAAACAAGAATATATTATTTATTTTTAGAACAATGTTTATTCTTTTTATTTTAATTCTACTTTTATCTATTGTCTATAAATTAAAATTAAATCCTGATGCTTATTTCAATACAGTTAATTTTGGTATATTGTTTGTTGGTAATATAATATATGGTTTACAATTAATATCATTTTGTATAATGAATGCACAATTATTTGATACAAATGTTCGTGCTGTTATATTTACATTTGTTTTTTATTATGTTATCTATTATATCTCTTCATTTACTAATTCATGGCCACCAGGTATACAATATATATTGATGTTTTTTTGTCCTTATATTGCTGGACATTCACTTTTTCAAGTAAGAACTATTCATATAATTTTTCTCATGAGTTTTTGTTTTATTCTATTTTTTGTCTAATAGCAAGCTGTATTGTATGATCTAGCAAACAAAGATGTAGCAATATTTCGAACTATATATAGTTATGTACCAATGTATTTTCCAACATTGATTGTTATGCTTCTTAGTTGTGTTTTTTATTGGGCATTATCATGGTATTTGGAAAAGGTCTTTCCAGGTAAATAAATAAAAAAATTGTCAATGCGGTCTCATGCGGGGTCAAAATATAGAACTCACAAACTCTGACAGTTATACATTTATGGTATATTCTCAGATAAATCTTCAATGCGTAACTTTTCTCTTCATGATACTATATGTGATAGATGTTATAGGAAATGACAAATATCATTTTATTTTTTGTTTCATCGATTCAACCACTATATGAGTCTGCTGTACATACATATAGATATGATTATTCAGTAAGCATTCGAACACGCTGTCTTTTCTCTTGACGAATTTTGCAGTCTGGTGTTGAACTTTGCCTAAAATTAGTATTCAATTGGTTCATACTTTTCTATATCCGTCGTATTCTGACTCTGCTAGATCAATAACACTACCACTCTAGTAATTGACATCTGCAATACGTTCCTTTCACTAGATCACATACCAAATTCTGCAATGCTTAGACTAGTTAGAATCTACCATAGAAATCCTAGACTCATGACATGATTTGAAAGATGTAAGAAAGTTTTAGAATAATCTAAATACTGGTATTAATGACGCGCCTTTTCCCATTGTTAGAAAAACATACCCAATAATCATTGACCCTCCTCTACCTGTCTTCGATTGCTAAAGCCTGAGGGAGTCGCGAAAATCTTGATTTAAACTTATACTCAATATTCTCATCAATAATATATGTGAGTTCCACAAAAATATAAACGATTAAAAGAAAACAATTTTGTTACATCAGAAAAATGATCTCTTAATGACATGAATAAATCTAACAAAAATAACATTGTTTATGTATGACTTGCATTTGTGTTCGATCTACTGTATGAAGTTTTTCTTTTTTTCTGATTGCAAATTTTAGGTGAATATGGTATTCCACTTGACTGGAATTTCTTATTCAAAAGAGATTATTGGCGTAGAGAAACTACTAAAGATCAAATATATACATTTGATAATCATGCAGCTACACTTTCAAGACCTATTACACCATTTACACGAACAAATTCAATTGGTACACCTGTTGTTCATGTTGATCATCTTGTTAAAAAATTTGGTCCAGAT